TCCCATCCCTGCTGACTAGGTGTGGCCATCAGGAAATGGGAAGCAGTAACAGGCGCCACTTTGTTCCCCCTTCTGCAGGACCCCAGCTCATTCACCATGACTGGTTATAGAGGATCCAGGGGAGGGCTCCGAGGGCGGAGCGGGTGGCAGAGCCACTAGAGAGAAGAACCCCAAATGTTCTTGGTGGCTTGGAGGAGGCTTGGAGGAATCAACTTTGTTGGGTTAAGCTGCTGAGATGGGGGTTGTTGCTGCAGCATCGCCTAGCACATCCTGAATAGCACATGATGCAAGAAACTTGACCTTCCAGTGTAGAGATTCAATATTCTTCTAGTAATATATAATATATAATGTTGATGGCCAGGCACGGTGGCTCATGCCTGTAATCCTAGCACTTTGGGAGGCTGAGGCAGGCAGATTGCCTGAGCTCAGGAGTTCAAGATCAGCCTGGGCAACACAGTGAAACCCCATCTCTGCTAAAATACAAAATAAATTAGCCAGGTGTGGTGGTATGTGCCTGTAATCCCAGCTACTTGGGAGCCTGAGGCAGGAGAATTGCTTGAACCCAGGAGGTGGAGGTTTCAGTGAGCCGAGATCATACCACTGCCCTCCAGCCGGGGCAACAGATCGAGATTCTGCCGCTACCAAAAAAAAAAAAAAGATGGATGGATGGGTGGATAACACTGTTTTAAGGCCTTTACCTATATTAACTCACTGTTACTTAGAACAGAGCTTTGAAGAGGAGACTATCTCCAAGTTAGACCTGAGGAAACAGAAGTTAAGAAACTTGCCTGAGCTCATGCAACTCGTAGGCAGCCAAGCAAAAATTCTCCCAGGGAGGCTGTGACCTAGCCCTCAACCTAACCATCACCCCACACTGCCTCTCACTCTCAAAATGACTGCCCTTCAGCATTTAATGGGCTTGGGGTTATTGGTCCTGGGTAATTTGGAAAGCAGAGCTGGTTACTAACTGATGGGTTGAGCAATGTTTTAAACTCCTGAATCTATAACCGCATATCAGATCTTTTTTGCTTGGGAGTTCTTTCAAACTTTCAAGAACAGATAATTCCGTGCTAACTGATGTGTGCATATGCATGTGCTGCACTGCAATATGAACAGTCATGGGGCTTGTATGTGTCCATGCATGTGTCTGCATGAGATGGGCATGGATGTAAGATGTACCTGAATAGTGGATGGAGAATATGCAGGACATTTGCGTGCATTTGGTGTATGTCTAATGTGTGTGGTGGGCTTGTATGTACATGGTATGCATGCGATGTCTGTATGCACATTTGTGTGTGGTGTGTCATTGCATATGTATGTACATGTGGCATGCATGTGTGCATGGCCATGGTGTACATGTATGTGGTGTGTGTCCGTGTGCTATGCATGAGCGCGTGTGTGTGTGTGATGTAGGTCTGTAACACGCTGAGTTTGTGTGTTATGTGTGCGCATGCATCTGTGTGTGTTTTGGGTGCTGTGTATGTGTGCGTCTTACATGCATGCTAGCTACACATATGCACACCACATAACATACCTGTACACATACAGCTGGCACTTGCCAAGCACACCATGCACAGACATGCGTACGATGTACATAGATGCACAGGGATGCATCATACATGCCACACGCACATCACATGGACACACCTCACCCTTACACACATGCAAAACACACAAGACCACACTGCACACTCTCATACCACCTCCGCACGCACACTGTCCACATGGGCAGCACCCTGCCCCACCATGCTGGGAGTCAGAGCTGGCCTGCACCCCAGGAGATGGCTGCAGAACTCGAATGTTCGGGAATAAGCACCATTTGTGAGGTTCACCTTCCATCTGAGCACAGCCACCCTGTTTCCAATTCAAAAAGATCGCCATGCAGCCATGTGGACTCTGCCTCAACTTCCTCCAGGGAGAATTCTCCAAAATTCTTGATGAGATTCACAATTGCAGAGTCATAGCCTCTGGGACCTGAGCGCAGGAAAGTGTGGTACACGGGAGTGTGTGCCAGTCCTGATCATTTGTCAGGGCGCAGACCAGATGTCGCCTCATCCGGGAAGCCTTTGACCCTAGCTGGACAGGGCGCCCCTGGTCTGCATTCCCCTGGCTCCCCTTTTTCCACTGGTCACATGGCATTCGTAATTTTATACTTTTATGGTTTATAATATAAAGTGGCTAATATTTAATTATAATGTTATGCTTTCCATCTCTGTCTCTCCAAGTGGACCTTAACTCCAGGAAGGCAGACTGTGCCCCATCCTGCTGGCATCCCTGGTGCTCAGCGAAGGGCATGACAGAGGAACTGCTCTGTTGTTTGTATTCTTGCTGAATGAACACATTGAATTTTAGCATCACGGACTCTGAAAATTAATCTGTGCCTTGTTGCCCACCTTCCAATCCAATGTAAACATGTATATGTATCCCTCCAGGGGGGAATTACTACCGGGCAATTTTGGGACCAGCCACGCCTGCCTTCTGGGGCGGGGGGGGGTCTCAGCCTCGGCCCGGGGAGTGCCTCCTGCTTGGACCAAATGCGTTTGTAGGGGAGGTGTGAGATGGAGAAGTCAGAGGAAGGCGCTTGGCCCTGGGGTGAGTGGGGTTGGTCCCTGGGCCAGCTGTGTGGGCAGTGAGGACAGGCTGCAGGCAGGAGTTAGGGGTGTTCACAATGTCAGGGTCACTGCTGTAGGATCCGGCAATAACTTGAAACCTCAAGGTGTGAGGGGCCCTGGCCGTAGACTGGCCCTAGCAGGTGGAGGATGCTGCAGGAAGGGCCTGGCCCATGACAAGGCTAGGGGACCCGGGGCCAGCCACTTTGGGAGCAAAACCCCAGTGTTTTGACAGCAGGTGTGACCCTGGGCTCTTGGGAGCTCTGTGGGTCGTGGCCACCATCATTGCCGGATGGAATAGAAAACAGGCAGCAGACACTGCCTCCCAGGAAGGAGGAAGCCCCTGGGGTGGCACTTGAGTTGTTCTGGGGCTGAAAGTCTTGCTGTTGCAGGTAAGGCCAGAGCCAGTGAGATCTGGAGCAATACTGATGTGGCCCCACTTGGACCATGGGTGTAGCCGGTATTGTCGGCTATTGCCTTAGAAACATATGGGCCTGAGATGGGGATTCTGGTTCAAGCGATTCACTGAGTGGGTACTCTCAGAAGGGAGTCATATCCTCGGAGCAGGGTGGGGTAGGGGGAAGGAACTTAGCAAGGATGGTGTTGCAGCTGGAGACGGCTTCAGGCTGCTCCAGGGACTCAGGTTGTGCATGGGACCTCAGAGTTGGCGTCTCGGTTATTTGGTCCTTAGCTGTGGGCAGCTCTGGGGGGCAATGACCAGGATGGGGGTGGTGTAGCTTTGAGCTAAGAGCAGTCAACACTCGGGACCTAGGGATGGGCTCTGGCCACAGAGGAGCCCAGGGAGAGGGGACACCAATGTCATCCGCTGCAGTCGGTGCTACAGACCAAACGATTATGTCCCGGAATTGATCATTGGAATCCTAACCCTTGATGGGCTGGTATTTGGAGGCAGGGTCTTTGGAAGGTGATTGAATGAAGCCCTCAGGATTGGGGTGAATGCTGTTAAAGAAATTCTGGAGAGCGCCGTCCCCTCCAGCCCTGTCATACACAGCGAGAGGATGGACATCCATGAACCAGCAAGTGAACCCTTACCCCTGAGGCTGCCAGCGCCTTGATCTTAGACCTCCCAGTCTCCACAACTGTGAGCAGTGAGTTTGTGTTACTGCAGGCCACTTGGCCTGTGGCGTTCTGTTAGGGCACCCGAGATGGACTAAGACAGTCACTGTCCTCTCCATGGCCCTGAAATTAGCCTTTTGGCTCTGTTCCCACTCTCTGGGGCCCCAGGACACACCCATGCGACAGACAGTCCCTGAGACCTGCAGGTAGGGCATTTAGGTTCTGCCTGGGACCTCTGAGTGTCCTGTGCAGCCCAGAGGCTGGTCTTGGTGTGTGGACACTTGGAAAGGACTCCTGAGCTCCTGGCACAGCTGCGAGGGTGGCAGCAGGCCTTGCCCAGCACCACCATGCAAGGGTGGCATTGTACTAGTCATTGTGGGCTGTCCGCGTGACTCCCAGGGTAAGCTCTTTTTGCAAACGTGAAAGCAAGAGTTGAATAGTAAACTGTCTAAGCGGTCATGTTGCTGACAGGCTCTGTGCAGAAGAAGAAATTGTAACCACATGAAGTATTTACGCCGAACATCGAGCTGCTGCCACTGTGGGACGGCAGGGGGTTGGCTGGTTTGGGGTTTTCTTTTTTGTTTTTCCAAAGTGGATTACAAAATGCCCTGGGGTGGGCGAGGAAACAGCACTGCACTCCTGGGCTGTCCTCTGGAAGGAGGGGGTTTACCATGATTGGAGAATGAGAGGCCAGAAGAGCGGTCCTGAACGTGGGGGCTCCTGTGTCCAGGTCCCGGGCCTGGATGGGAGCCGTGGCACCTGCCCCCACCTCAAAATGGCTGCATCACAGGATGCCAAGTTGTAGCTTCCCACCAGGGAATTGGTGTCTTTCTAGGTATAGTTAAAATAGTACCACCATCTAACATCTGCAGGGAAACCTGGTTTAAAGAATCCCCTGTCTAGGATGCTTCCTACGCTCAGGTTTGAAAAAGAAGCCCCTTAGCCTCCTCCCTGGGTCCCCACTGCTCACCTCCACCAGCCTGAGAGGCCTCATAATCCAGAGGATGGTGGGGAGGGCTCGCCACTGTCACCAGCTGATGCAGGTTCCCATGTGGCAGCGCTCCTGCCCACACCCCTTTCCGTCAACATAAGAGGTGTACAGGTCTGCAGCACAGTTACTCCTTTAGAGGACAAGACTGAGGTCAGAGTGGGCCCATCACCCACACACAAACCCCCATGGGATGGTAAAGCTCAGGCAAGGCTTCAACTGGAGTCTGTCTGCCCCAAGGGGCTCCATGCTGGGCAAGCCACCATCAAATGCCACTTCGTGGGGGCGCAACCCTGGCTCACCAAGGGCAAGGAGACACAGACTTGTTTTCAGCTTTTCAGAAGTTTTATTATAAAGAGATTTGAGAGAAGCACTGGGCACCAAGACAGACACTCGCCAGGGCCAGAAAACAGCTGCAAACAACGTCAAGAACCCAAACCAAACCCCAAAACCACGCACACGGTAGGAGAAGCTGCAATTCTGTTCTCAGGGTTTCTTCATAAATAGACAAGTCGTCGCTGGCAATTTAAAATACATGAATACATGTTTGAAAGGAGAGCAGTGCGGGGGTGGGGGCTCGCGATCATCCGGTCCTTGCTGAGGATGGCCACACAGGTTGGCGGCCGCTTTTGTGCACGTCTCCCTTAAGATGAAACTTAAAAATGTGCTAAGGGCCATATAAAATGCTTTTTACCTTAAAGGAAACTACTTTTTCCCCCCCCACAAGATAATCTTACAGATGTCTTCAGCACAGTTCTAAAACACGTAGTCAACTACTTACACGGAACCAAGAGTTCACAGGTTTCGTCATTTGTTCACACTGGAAAGCCGATGTGCACGTCTATGATGGGGGCCGCCCCCCGGCCCAAGCATCGGGGGAGGGTGTCCGTTGGTAAGCGACTCCGCCAGGGGCAGTCCCCGTGAGCTGGAGCTGGGGCCAGGCATCCAGACATAGGGTACCGTGCGCAGGGCGAGGACAGGGTCCACGGTTACCCTGGAGCAAGCAGGTCAGCAGGCAGAAGGTTCCTGCAGGTTCTTTGGGCTGGCGGCGGGCAGTGGGGCTGTCTCTGCAGAGTCTGGTGGGAGGTCGAGGAAGAGACTCAGCCCCTGGGCAATGGGATCTCTCCGATGGGCCACCCTGCCTCTGGCCAGGGCCTCGTTTCTGCTGTCAGCCCTTCAGGCTCCGAGCAGTGCCTTCCAGCGAGCCTCGGGGATGAGGGGAAGGCGGGATTAGGTGAGGTAGAGCGATTTGTCTCTGGGCAGCAGGCTGTGAGAGAGAGGAGGGGCTGTCAAAGCTGTTAGGTACCTCCCCAGGCCAGGAGAGCACCAGGACCCCTGCCCTGTCCGCACCCCCACCCCCTATCCCTGAGATTCAGCTACCTTTCTGCAGCTGAATGAGGGACTTGCAGCTGCACCCCCCGCGCCCCCCCCACCCCCCCATTCTGCAGCAGGCAGAACCAAGCCCCTCCTGGAATCCCAGCAGGGAACCACCCAGTCCTCAGCTCTGTGGGAAAGTGCAGCAGTGTGTCTGTCCTTCTTTGAGGTGCACAGTGATGTCACCATTGCTCTCACGTCGGTTTTTAATCACAGGAATTTGTAAATCGCAAACTGAATTAAGGGAGGATAGGTGCTTTCTATGCCTTTAAAGTAGGGCCGTGCTGCGGTCCGACCTTCATGCTGGATGCGACGGGCCAGCCTCGGGAAGCTTGGACATTCTGTGACACTAAAGACCTCCCTACATACCCCAAGTACTTTGACTTTTGAGAAAGGAAACTTTGGAGACAGGATAAAGGGCCGGGGTAGGAGGGTCTGCACCTGCTTGGGCTGCAGGGAACGATTCTGGCTGAATGGAGTCTGCCTACCCACACTGAATCTCACCCCAGGCGTGTCAGAAATGGGGTGTGCATGGTGGTCACTTGCTCAGTGCCCAAGGACGCTGGCGGGTTGGCAGAGGAATGACCCCTGGGCTGGGAGGCTGAGGCTAGGGCTGGGGGCAGCGGGTCTCGGCAGCAGAGGTGGCCACCTGACAAGTGTGCTGTGCCTTCCAGAGTGTGGAGCTATTGCAGGGACAGCTGCTTGGCACTACGTCCCCCAGGTGTGGCTGTGGGACTCGCTTTTGCCAAGGGATTGGGAACCAGGCCGGCGGGTTATGGAGCAAGTCCCCCTCCTCACTCTATCCTCCCTCTCCTGCTGGCTGAAGTGAAAGGTCACTCTTCCCTGGAGTTGGTGTGGCCTGGATCCAGGAAGGCTTTCTAGAGGGAGGCGGTTAGCATGGGTTTGACGGGCGGAGTGCAGAATGGGAACAGAGGCCTGAGTCGGGAGGATGCTGGGGTGCAGGGGAAAGGCATCTCTAAAGTGTCTGTGTAATTCTTTGGGATAGGGCGTGGGTCCCTTCTCCCACCGTGTCTCACCCAGGCCCGCTGTCCTGCATTCTCAGCTGTTCTGCTCTTGGGAGCTTCCCTGCCCAGCAGGCCCCACTCCCCCAGGCTGACTGATGCAGGGGCTGAAAAACCAGTTCCCTGACCTCCAGGTGGAACCTGCTCAGCACCGTTCATGCTTGGGCGCTCTCAGGGGATCAGGTGGAAGCAAGTCTCCAGCTGAGGCCACATCTCCGCTCGGCTCCTTCCCAGTCTTGCCTCCCTCACCCCCCCTTTCCTGCAAGCTCTCCCCAACACCTTCCCAAGGGCACCCAATCCCTGCTGCCGCAGGCTCTGCTTCTAGAGAACCGCCTAACATGCAGGACTCATTGGTGAATGTCACGCAGAAGCGTCTGTGGAAAAAAACAGGGAGGAAGCAGAGGCAAGACTGAAGATGAGTCAGTTTCCCCAGTCCACCTTGGCATCAGGCCAGCGGAGTGCTTTCAGGCCTGGCTCTGTGGTGTCATCTCCTGAGGACTCGAGGCATCCCCTCGGCAGGGCTGACAGTGACCGCAGGGTTCTGCCCTGTCCATGCTGCCCTCAGCCATGCTCCCATCCCTGGCCATCCTGTTCCCACTCCCCCTGGCCGGCAGGACAAAGGCAGGCACGGGTGAGGACTGACCTGCAGGTGCTGATGCCGCACTCCCCGCTGGGGTAGCTGCTGTCCCAGTCCCCGCTGCTGGTGGGGTTGGATGGGCCGGGGGAGCAGGAGCCCGAGCTGCTGGGGAACTCAGAGAGGTGTGGGAAGTCCTACAGACGGGAAGGAGGAGGCCATGAGCCAAGGAGAGAGGAGGGGGCAGACTGTCCCAGGCCGCCCGGGGTGAGGGCCTATGGGTCCCAGGAAGAGACACTGCCTCCGTGTCACCCGGAATCGCCTCTCTGCCTCCAGGGCTGCTGCCTCGCTCCCAGTAGAGCACCTCTCGAAATATTCGCCCTCGTCTTGGCTGAATCAGGGGCTGAAGGACTTTGCTTTCAGGCTTTTCCCTTTCTGGGCCTCTGTAAAATGGAGTTACTGAGCCCAGTGACCTCGGAGGGCCGTGTGAACTTCATAGCAATCTCTGGGAAACAGTTAGCTGGGGTAGGGTCTCAAGGGCTTTGGTGAGGGGCAGGGTTAGGGCTGAGAATGCGGGAAGAGGGGCCTGGAATACCCTGAGCGTCATTCTGGCAACTTGTGAACTGTTCGCTGCAGCCAGCACGTCTCGGGTAAGGTGTGCCTGCCCCGATTCCTAGATGTGGTAACAGGCTCAGAGAGATCAGGTGCCAAGGCTGAGGTTACATCCCTGGTGAGTGGCAGGGCCCAGGTGTGAAATGGCAAAGCCGCTTTCCCTCCCCACATGGTCACAAAAGAGCTGTTCCTGCTTGTCCCTGCTTACCTGTGGCCCGGGAGGTGAGGGGCTCATCGCCAGCTGCACCTGGAGTGCCATGGGGGTGGGCAGGACAGGGGGCTGGGGGGCTGGGGACATGCTAACAGGTGGACTGAGGAGGGCGCCCTGGGCGTGAGGGGGCAGTGACAGCTGCTGGTGCAGTGGGGGGCTGAGCGGGAAGGAGGGTGGTGGCGGTGGGGATGCACTGAGGCCTGGCAGCAGAGACTTGGAGCCCAGGGTCCGGGCGAGGCTGGCCGGGGAGGCCCCGCTGCGGAAGGCCTGCAGGTCTGATGGTGTAAGGAAGGAGGCCAGGCCTGGCATGGCATACATGGGTTGCTTGGGTGGCAGCATTTTGGCTGGTGGGTTTGGCTGACTGCTCTTGGTCTCACTTTGGTCCGGGGAGCTCTGGAAGGAGACAGGTATCAGTCACTGGAGAAGAGAAGAGGGATGAGCCAGAACTTGGGCTATGAGGCCAGACAGCTCTGCAACGCCCCAACATGGCCCCTGGCTGGCTCTCTGGCCCCTCGGGAAAGATCTCGGACCAACCAGAGATAATGCAGGCTCCTTTCTCTCCTTGGCTCCGAACATTCAGCCACCCCCATCTTTTATCTTTGGGGGGCTCCTCTGCCCATGAAGGCATCCATGCTCCTCAGCCTGGCCAGTAAGACCAGCATCATCCTGCCAGGCTAGCTCTATTCATGCTCCTCTGTGCCTTTGCAGATGTTCCCTTGACCTTTTTTTTGTTTTTGAGATGGAGTCTTGCTTTGTCATCAGGCTGGAGTGCAGCGGCATGATCTCTGCTCACTGCAATCTCTGCAATCTCTTGAATCAGTGTTCAAGAGATTCCCCTGCCTCAACCACCCAAGTAGCTGGGACCACAGGCGTATGCCACCATGCCCGGCTAATTTTTTGTATTTAGTAGAGACGGGGGTTCACAATGTTGACCAGGATGGTGTCGAACTCCTGACCTCATGATCCACCTGCCTCGGCCTCCCGGAGTGCTGGGGTTACAGGCGTGAGCCACCGCGCCCGGCCTTACTTGAACTTTTATGGAGCAATTCAGATGCTATCTCCTCTGTAATAGGAGTAACACCACCTCCACTTGGGCCACGCATCCACAGCCACACACAGAGGAGGCCGACAGTGTGGTGAGGAGGTGCCATATTTTGGGTAGCGTGTCCCAAGCCCCATCAGCAGTCAGAAGTGAAGACCACATAAAACTGGCAAAACTGGGTTTGCATCCTAGTGCGGTTGCTTTAACAAACAATATTTTCAGGCAAGTTGCTTAACCTCTCTGGGTGCTGGGTTCTTGTTGGAAGAATCCAATGAAACGCATGTAAAGTGCCCAGAATGAACCTGGCATATGTAGGTGCCCTCCAGCCATTACCATGCAGGTCTGACCCATCTTTTCTAAGACCTAGGGTGCTGGCCATTCCCATGGGCCCCAGTTCTCACTCCGTCCCTCAGGTGGCCCCACTCTGATCAGGGCTGTGCCTGGAGATTCAGGGTGTTACCTTGGAGACGAGGCTAGCCCGGTAGGCTGCCAGAGCCTTCAGATATTCCTTCTTTGCTGCTTCCGTCTTTCTCTTGTAGGCCTGGAAGAGTCAACACATGAGCAACACTGGGAGAAGGTTATGGAGGAGATGTGGTGCAGGGTCCTGGGGTGGGAAGGCATGGACTCAAGGATTATGAATGGACAAGTGTGGGGGGTCAGGAGCTGGGTCAGCCAGCCACTGGCCCCTTCCTGGGAGCACTGCAGAGAAATTGTGGAGACCAGGCCCTATCCCAGTTCCTTGGCCAAGTCACTGTGTGGCTTTGGCCAACATGCTTCACCTCTCTGGGCCTCCAAGTTACATCAGCACAACTTGCCACAGAAAGACAAAGCCCTTTGAAGCCCCCATTCGGATCCAGCATAGTGCAGATTGCTTAAGGCTGAACCTCCTTCGCAACCTGGGATGAACCTACTTGTTCACAGTATGTTAGTCTGGATTCGCTTTGCTAATACTTTTTATTAAAAATTTTAGACCTGGGTTTCACGTTATTGGAGGATTGGTCTCAGTTTGTTTGCACCTCGTTTCCATGCCTTTTGTTAGAAGCAACTTGGAGCTTAGCCTTGTGTAACTTGTATTGGCCAATAAGACAAGCATAATTGAAGCAGGCAGAGACTGAAAAATGCTCACATGTGGGTGAGCCCCTTTCTACTCTTGGAAATCTTATATAATTTTTTTTTTTTACATGAATAAGTTCCTGGATGGTGATCTGAGATTTTGGTACACCCATCACCGGAGCAGTGTACACTGTACCTAAGGTGTAGTCTTGTCCCCCACCCCTCCCATCCTTTTCCCTGAGTCCCCAACGTCCACTGTATTATTCTAATGCCTTTGTGTCTTCATAGCTTAGCTCCCGTTTGTGAGTGAGAACATACAATGCTTGGTTTTCCATTCCTGAGTTACTTCTGTTAGAATAATAGTCTCCAATTCCATCCAGGTTGCTTGAATGCCATTATTTCATTCCTTTTTATGGCTGAGTAGTATTCCATGGCATGCACACATATATATGCCACATTTTTCTAATCCACTCATTGACTGATGGGCATTTGGGCTGGTTCCATATTTTTGCAATTGCGAATTGGGCGGCTACAAAAGTGTGTGCAAGTATCTTTTTTGTAAAATTCCTTTTCCTCTGGGTGGATACCCAGGAGTGGGATTGCTGGATCAAATAGGTCTACTTTTAGTTCTTTGAGGAATCTCCACCCTGTTTTTCACAGGGGATGTACTAGCTTACATTCCCACAAACAGTGAAAAAGTGTTCCCTTTTCATCACATCCATGCCAACATCTATTATTTTTTGATTTTTTGTTTATGGACATTCAGGTGTAAGGTGGTTTTGACTTGCATCTCCCTGATCATAATGATGTTGATTATTTTTTAATACATTTGTTGGCCATTTGTATATTTTCCGTTGAGAATTGTCTATTCCTTTCCTTAGCCCATGTTTTGATGGGATTGCTTTTTTTTTTTTTTTTTTTTTTTTTTTTTTTTTTTTTTTTTTTTTTTTTTTCCTTGTTGATTTGAGTTCCTTTCTAGATCCTGGATATTAGTCTTTTGACGGAAATATAGATTGTGAAGATTTTCTCCCACTCTGTGGGCTGTTTCCTCTGCCGGTTATTTCTTTTGCTGTGCAGAAGCTTTTTAGTTTAAGTCCCATCTATTTATCTTTGTTTTTGTTGCATTCGCTTTTGGGTTCTTTGGTCATGAAGTCTTTGCCTAAGCCAATGTCTAGAAGGGTTTTTCCAGTGTTACCTTGTAGAATTTTTAGGGTTTCAGGTCTTAGATTTAAGTCTTTGATCCATTTTGAGTTGACTTTTGTATAAGGTGAGAGACAAGGATCCAGTTTCACTCTTCTCCATGTGGCTTGCCAATTATCCCAGCACCATTTTTTGAATAAGAAGTCCTTTCCCCATTTTACATTTTTGTTTGCTTTGTCGAAGATCACTTTGCTGTAAGTATTCGGCTTTATTTCCAGGTTCTGTATTCTTTTCCATTGGTATACATACCTATTTTTATATCAGTAACATTCGGTTTTGGTGACTATGGCCTTATACTTTGAAGTCGGGTAATGTGATGCCTCCAGATTTGTTCTTTTTGCTTAGTCTTGCATTGGCTATGAGGGCTCTTTTTTGGTTCTATATGAACTTTAGGATTTTTTTTTCTAGTTCTGTGAAGAATAATGGTATTTTGATGGGAATTGCATTGAATTTATAGATTGCTTTTGGCAGTGTGGTCATTTTCACACTATTGATTCTACCCATCCATGAGCATGAAATGTGTTTCCATTGATTTCATCTATGATTTCTTTCAGCATGTTTTGTAGTTTTCCTCGTAGAGGTCTTCCACCTCCTTGGTTAGGTATATTCCTAAATATTTTATTTTTTTGCAGCTAAAAGGGATTGAGTTCTTGATGTGATTCTCAGCTTGGTCACTGTTGGTATACAGCAGAGCTATTGATTTGTGCACATTAATTTTGTATCCTGAAACTTTGCTGAATTCATTTACCAGTTCTAGGAGCTTTTTGGATGAGTCTTTAGGGTTTTCTAGGAATATGATCATGTCATCAGCAAAGCAACAGTTTGACTTCCTCTTTACTGATTGGGATGTCCTTTATTTCTTTCTGTTGTCTGATTGCTCTGGGGCTAGGACTTCCAGTACTACATTGGATAAAAGTAGTGACAGTGGGCATCCTTGTCTTTTTCCAGTTCTCAGGGGGAATGCTTTCAACTTTTCCCCATGCAGTATAGTGTTGGCTCTGGATTCATCATAGATGGTTTTTATTACCTTAAGGTATGTCCCTTTTATGCCGATTTTGCTGAGGGTTTTAATCATAAAGCGATGCTGAATTTTGTCAAATGCCTTTTCTGTGTCTATTGAGATAATATAGTTTTTAATTCTGTTTATGTAGTGTATCACATTTATTGACTTGTGTATGTTAAACCATTCCTGCATCCCTGGTATGAAACCCACTTGCTCGTGGTGGATTATGTTTGATACGCCATTGAATTTGGTTAGCTAGTATTGTGCAAGAATTTTTGCATCCAAGTTCATCTAGATATATAATCACGTCATCAGTAAACAGTGCCGGTTTGACCTTCTCTTTACTGATTCAGATGTTCTTTCTTTCTCATGTCTGATTGTCCTGGGTAGGACTACCAATACTCTGTTGAATAGAAGTGGTGAGAGTGGGCATCCTTGTCTTGTTCCAGTTCTCAGGGGGAATGCTTTTAATTTTTCCCCATTCAGTATAATGTTGGCTCCGGGTTTATCATAGATGGCTTTTATTACCTTAAGGTATGTCCCTTCTGTGCTGATTTTGGGCCTAGAAGGAATATTGGCGTGTTGCTTTCTTTTTGTTATGTCCTCTCCTGATTTGGGTATTAGGGTGATACTGGCTTCAGAGAATGATTTAGGAAGGAATCCCTCTTTATTTTGTGGAATAGTGCCCTTTAAAAGTCTGATAGAATTCAGCTGAGTATCCATCTAGTCCTGGACTTTTTTTTGTTGGTAACTTTTTAATTACCATTTCAATCTCACTACTTGTTACTGGTCTGTTCAGAGCTTCCATTTCTTCCTGGTTTAATCTAGGATGGTTGTATATTTCCAGGAATTTATCCATCTCCTCTAGGTTTTCTAGTTTATGTACATAAAGGTGTTCATAGTAGCCTTGATCTTTTGTATTTCTGTGGTATCATCTCGTGTTTTGTTTCTAATTGAGCTTAATTGGATCTTTTCTCTTTTTTTGGTTAATCTCACTAATGGTCTATCAATTTTATCTTTTCAAAGAACCAGCTTCTGCTTTATTTCTTTTGTATTTTTGTTTATTTCAGTTTCATTTGGTTCTGCTCTGATCTTGGTCATTTTTTTTCTTCTGCTGGGTTTGAGTTTGGTGTGTTCTTTTTCTCTAGTTCTTTGAGGTGTGACTTAGATTGTCTATTTGTGCTCTTTCAGACTTTTTGATGTAGGCATTTCATGCTATAAACTTTCCTCTTGGCACCACTTTTGCTATATCCCAGAAGTTTTGATAGGTAATGTTTGTATTATCGTGCAGTTCAAAGAATTTTATAATATCCATCTTGACTTCATTGTTGACCCAACAACCATTCAGGAGCAGGTTATTTAATTTCCATGTATTTGTATTGTTTTGAGGGTTTCTTTTGGAGTTGATTTCCAGTTTTATTCCACTGGGGTTTGAGGGATACTTGATATAATTTCTATTTTCTTAAATTTGTTGAGACTTGTTTTGTGACCTATCATATGGTCTATCTTGGAAAATGTTCCATGTACTAATGAATAGAAGGTATATTCTGCAGTTGTTGGGTAGAATGTTCTGTAAATATCTGTTAAATCCATTTGCTGTAGGGTATAGTTTAAGTTTGTTGTTTCTTTGTTGACTTTGTCTTGATGACTTGTCTAGTGCCGTCAGTGGATTATTGAAGTCTTCCACTATGTTACAATACTGTCTATCTCATTTGGTAGGTCTAGTAGTAATTTGTTTTATAAATTTGGGAGATCCAGCGTTAGATGCATATAAATTTAGGATTGTGATATTTTCCTGTTGGACTAGTCCTTTTATCATTATATAATGTCCTCTTTGTCTTTTTAAACTGCTGTTGCTTTAAAGTTTGTTTGGTCTGATATAAGAATAGCTACTCCTCCTCACTTTTGCTATCTATTATCTATTTACATGGAATCTTTTCCCACCCCTTTACCTTAAGTTTATGTGAGTCCTTAAGTGTCAGGTGAGTCTCTTGAAGACAGCAGATACTTGGTTGGTGAATTCTTACTCATTCTGCCATTCTGTATTTTTAAGTGGAGGATTTAGGCCATTTACAGTCAATGTTGGTATTGAGACGTGAGGTACTATTCTTCTATTCATTGTGCTATTTGTTGCCCAAATACCTTGTGGTTTTTAAAAAATTGTGTTATTACTTTAGAGGTCCTGTGAGATTTATTATTTAAGGAGATCCCATTTTGGTGTATTTCAAGAATTTGTCTCAAGATTGAGCTCCTTTTACTAGTTCTTGTAGTGCTGGCTTGGCAGTGGCAAATTCTCTCAGCATGGGTTTGAAAAAATAATATTTTTCCTTCATTTATGAAGCTTAGTTTTGCTGGATATAAAATTCTTGGCTGATAATTGTTTAAGGAGGCTAAAAATAGGACCCCAATCCCTTCTAGCTTATAAGGTTTCTGCTGAGAAATCTGCTGTTAATCTGATAAATTTTCCTTTATAGGTTACCCGATGATTTTGTCTCACAGATCTTAAGATTCTTTCTTTCATCTTGACTTTAGATAACCTGACTATGTCCTGAGGTGAAGGTATTTTTGTGAAAAATTTCCTAGGTGTTCTTTGAGCTTCATGTATTTGGATATCTAGATCTCTAGCAAGGCCAGGGAAGTTTTCCTCGATTATTCCCTCAAATATGTTTTCCAAACTTTCAGATTTCTCTTCTTCCTTGGGAACACCAGTTATTCTTAGATTTGGTCATTTAGCATAATTTTAACTTCTTGGAGGCTTTGCTCATTTGTTAAAATTCTTTGTCTTTGTTGAATTGGGTTAATTTGAAAGCTTTGCCTTAGAGCTCTGAAGTTCTTTCTTCTACTCGTTCAATTCTATGGCTGAGATTTTCCCAGTGTATTTTGCCTTTCTCTAAGCGTGTCCTTCATTTCCAGAAGTTGTGATTGTTTTTATTTATGTTATTTCACTGGAGATTTTTCCATTCGTATCCTGAATATTTTTTTAAGTCGGCCCTCACTTTTCTCTGGTGCCTCCTTGATTAGCTTAACAGTCAGCCTTCTGAATTATTTTTCTGGCAATTCAGAGATTTCATCTTGGTTTGGATCCATTGCTGGTGAGCTAGTGTGATCTTTTGTGGGTGTTAAATAACCTTGTTTTATCATATTACCAGAATTATTTTGCTGGTTCCTGCTCATTTGGGTAAACTATGTCAGAGGGAAGATCTGGGACTCACAGGCTGCTGCCCCTTGGGGTGCTCTCCCCCTTCCCCTAGGGATGTGGTTTCCTGAGAGCCCTACTGCAGTGATTGTTATTCCTCTTCTGGATCTAGTCATGCAGCCGAGCTTCCGGGCTAGTACTGGGGAGTGTCTGCAGAGAGTCCTGTGATGTGAGCTGTCTTCAGGTCTCTCCTCCATGGGTATCAATAGCTGCTCTGGTGGAGGTAGCAGGGGAGTGAAGTGGACTCCATGAAGATCCTTGGTTATATTTTTGTTAAGTGTGCTGGTTTTGTGTTGGTCAGCCCTCAGCCAGGAGGTGGCACTTTCAAGAGCACATCAGCTGCAATAGTATAGGGAGGATACAAGCTTGCCCTTGTGTCAGGCGGTGGGCAGGGCCATAGAGGTCCCAAGAGATTCTGTCCTTTGTCTTTGGCTACCAGGGCAGGCAGAGAAAGACCATCGGGTAGAGGGAGGGTTGGGAGTGTCTGAGCTCAGACTCTCCTTAGGCAGGGCTTGCTGCAGATGCTGTAGGGGGTGTGGTTCCCAGGGGGATTGTGGCTGCCTCTGCTGGATCACCCATGTCGCCAGGGAAGTGGGGGAAAGTTGGCAGCCACAGGAGGGTCTCCCACCGTGCACCCCCAACACTACCAAGTTTATTTCCAGGCAGCCAGTGAGCAGGACTGAGAACTTGCCCCAGGCTACAGGCCTCCCAGCTGAGAAAGCAAGCTGACTCACAGTTCCTGGGCTGTCCCAGAGAGCCTGCAGCAGCAATCCACCTCCTTCAAAGGGTCTGTGGATTCTTCTACCTTTCCTGGTATGTTCCTAGGGTAGTTGTTGGAGCAGAAGTTCACAATGTGGGTGTTCACATGCTGTTCTATCTATCCACGTAGGAGCTGCAAGTTAGTTCTGCCTCCTTTCCGCCATTTTTCTAGATCTAAAACTGCTCTTGGAACTCTGACTTGCTGTGTAAATAAGCATGAGCTAGTTTGCTGGATGATGAGAGACACACTGGGCTCAGTTTGGCTCCACTGTTCCAGCTGACAGCCATGCAACTCCCAGAAGCAGAGATGCCTAATTTACTGTAGTTGATCACTGATGCAAATGCATGAGTCCAGCCAAGAGCAGCAGCAGAGTCCAGCACAGTTCATGGACCCTCAAAATAATAAACGATTATTGTTTTAAGCCATTAAATTTTTGGTATTGTTTATGACACATTCAAAATTAAATGATACAGTTAACTTCATTATGATTTAGTGTCAAGGTTACATTCTGTATAAAGACTTGTGAAGGTTTTCTTCTTTTTCTAAGTCTTGGAATTATTAGCTCTTTGATGATTTGAAAGAACTTTCCTATCCATCACCTAGACTTGAAACTTTTGGGGAAGAGGCAAGGGTTTTTTAATTTCCTATAATTTTCTCAACACTACCTCTCTTGGTTATTAGTATTAATTATTAGTACAATAAAAATATGTCACATTTCAAAATGTGATTTCAGAATGAGGTCAGAGAAAGCATTGGTGGAAGGAGTGCCTGGGGACGGAGCACTTGAGACCACTGTCTCCCCAGACTGTCTATAAAAGGGAAAGGAAATCCCCCCACCAAAAACTCTGAAGTCTTTGTAGGAAAGGGAATGGTTGCCAACAAAACATACAAATGAAAACAACAAACATTACTGTAGCAAAAGCCGGCAGTGCCCTGCCAATATTCCCCAGTCCTTACCCCTGTCTGTCTTTCTTTGCCTGAGGGTCCCTCTGGTGGCAGGAGCCTGGCATGTGTGGCAGGCCAGAGGTGATGGAGAAGGAGTGCTGGTGTCCTTCCTTCCACCCCAGGACCACTGCCCCTCAGATGGGATGCCCCTGAGGCCTGGCACGTTCTATGTGGGCTCCTGAGTTCCGAGCAGGATTGCAACTCTGGTTCCCCATGGTGGATTCTCCTGGGACAGTGTGCCCTTTCCTGGATTCCTTTCCCTGTCTCACTTCCCTACTCCCCTACCAGATGTGGGGGTCATCTCCCAAACTCTCTGCCCTATAACATATTCCAAAATAACCTAAAATTTTAGAATATGGTAAAGAATATGTTTCAAATAAGTCAGTAATCCATTGCTCTGCCCCAAGCCTGCTACTTTGCCCATATTTCCAATCCAGTGAATGGCATCTCCATTTACTCAGATGCAAGGAGTCTCCCAGGATGTGCTCTGGGTCCCCTACCCCAAACCACACTGGAAGATGCTCCAGGCCCCACCCTCCCCCACCTGGATGACTGTGCACCCTCCACAGCCACTCTTACCTGCCTTAGGCTGCCGTTCTGGTCTCTCCTCTGCATAAAGCTCTTCACTGATTTTCTCTCCTCTTAGAACAGGACCTGACTCCTTCCAAGGTCCACAAAGCCCAGTATGGTCTGGCCCCTGCCCTCCTTTCCAGCACGGTCTCTGCTAGAGGGACTTTTACCGTCTCCTCTCTGGCCATCCTGGTCTCCTTTCAGTCCCCTGTGCTTTTCCAGGCTCCTTTGCTTACCAGGCCTCCCTGCCAGGAACACTTCCCCTCCTCCAAAGAGAACTCACTCTTCAGGCCTCACCTGGAGATCTGACCCCTCGGACAGGGTCCGTCACTGCTCTTTTCACTCTCATGAACTATGTACCCCCCAGTACATGGCACGATCACAACTGTAATTTTACATTTACTCATCTGCTTATACGATTCGTGTCTCTCATGCCAACAGCCCAGTTGAGCCTCCTGCTTCTACAGATGTGAGGTCAAATCCTGACTCTACCTTGATTCATGCTGGTGACCCTGGGAAAGTCACTTTACCTCTTGGTGTCTCTACCAAACCAGGAAAGCGAGGGCTACTCCACAGGGTGTCGGAAGGATCCAGTGAAATACTGAAGGGAGAGCCCAGCACAGAGCTCAGCCAGGATCTGAGCTCAGAGAATGACTAGCCAGCATCCCTGATTTAGAGATATGGAAAGCGAGGCTCGGAGATTGAGGTGGTGAGCTTGGGGCCACACAGCTGACAACTGTATTTGCCTACCAGCTAGTTCTGCGCTCTCTTCTCCCTGGAGGCCTTTAGAGGCGGCCACAGGCACATGGTCAGTGGGACAGGAAGCCCTGGCCTGAACTCGACTTCTAGGGTTGAAGGGACCAGATGGATGGAGATGACTGCTCTCATTTTATCAGTGGGGAAGCAGAGGTTCAGAATGGTAAAGCTGCTAGTAAATGCAGATGGTAAGTAGAATTGGAAGGCAGCTAGCTTCCCAGTTTACAGATGGGCAACCTGAGCCCAGGAAAGGCCTCTGCAAGAGTCTCTAGTCCCAGGGGCTGGGCCTGGTTTCAGACCTTCACAGTCTGTCCTTGGCTCCAGGACCACAAAGCCTCAGGGGATGGCCCAGGAAGAGATGGAGGCTCACCTGCTTCTGCTCCTCTCCCAGGCTGTCCCACATAGAGGCCACGATTTTGGACACATCACCGAAAGTGGCACTGGGGTTCTGTCCCTTGATGGCAGCCTGAGTGTCTCTGAAGAAGAGTGCGTAGGCCGACACGGGCTTCTGCGGCTCATTGGGGTCCTTCTTTTTCTTCTTCTTTGGGTTCTTGGCCTTTTTTCCTGGGTCAGCTGAAGGTCTCTTTTCTCCCGAGATCTGCCCGAATGAGAAGAGTCAGAAACCAAAGAAGCGCAAGGGCCACCTGCCAAAGGCGTTCAATTCTCCAGCCCTGCTCACACACGCATAACCACTCGCTAGGTGGGGCAGGCAATGGGCAGACACACACACTCCCTGGGTGTTTAACTCAACAAAGAGAAGCAGCATGATTGTAAACTTGATTGAGAGAAACACAGGAGGAGAAGACGACTTTATGGTCACCGAAAGAATTGAAAGAATGCTGGAGTTAGATGACTAAATCACACATAAAGCGGGTTAGTGCCCAATAGAGCGCTAAAACTACCCCCTTTGGGACTTTTAATCTTTTCTACTGGACAGAAATTTGCATCTCTACAGGGCAAAGTTAATTTGCCTTATAATCAGACAAAAATCACTTACATCCCTTATCATTTTTTTCCCCCAAGGTAACATCATCTTTTACAGAGTTGTAAAATCCCCTAATCAATAATGAACAATGAATCAAAGCTAAGGTCCAGTTTCCTAGAGAATCAGATAATTCTCGAGTGAGCCTGGTAGCCATGCTTTGGTATGACATTGAAAAAGGACCTATTTCCAAGTTTGGAATGTGTGTATATACACATTTCTAACACCTTCCCACTTGTGATCACAAATAATCCCCAAAGAGGATCCCGCACTACACAAGGTTGGTCTCCGCCGCCATGTTTCAGCTCTGCAGCTTCGAGCAGGTGGCTTAGTCCCTGGACCCCTGTGAAGTGGGGAAGGGATGAGGCTAAAGTGACTGTTACTGGGTCAGCCCTGGAGCCAGTGGCTTCACCCTGGACAGACTGCAGGACCATGATCCTGTGAACGCGTGACTTAGGGCTTCCAGGACAAGGCGGTAGAAGGAATGGGATGGTGACATCTTGAACTGATAAGAAAGCCACGGGCCAGTAGACATGATTCTGTTCCTGAAGCTTTCTCTGCAGCCACCCCCTTCTCCAAGCCCCAGTTGCGTTAGCACCGTGGTGCGGCCCAAGCAAGATATGGGATAAAGAGGCATGTCACCATTGATAAAGTCCTGAGCAGACAGGGGGTGGAGGGCACACACGCTGGACTGCCCCTGCAGCCACCTGGGTTTGACTTCTGGTTTCCCCCCTTACTAGTTGTGTGACACTGGATATATTACTTAACCTCTCTGTGCCTCAGTGTCCCCATCTGCCAAGCAGAAATAATATCAGTCCCTGCCCCATAGGGCTTTTATGAAGATTACATGGACGAAGACGTGTTATGTGCTTAGACCAGCGTCTGGCCCATAGGGAATGCTGGTTAAATAAAAACCGTCCCTACATGGACTATAATAGAGGCCAGGTTATCCTTAGGATGACGCTGGGCCAGGATCCGGACGTAAACCCCGAAGTCCAGGGTAACTGCCCCAGGCCTCTGCAAGGCCACCACATGGAAAGGACGCTGGCTCGACAGAGGTAGGAGGCACAGAGGGAAGTAAGTCTTGATTCCACCACTAGCTTGCTGGGAGGTCCCGGGCAAACACCTGTGTCTTTGCCTTTCAGGGCCTCTGTTTTCCTCCCTGGTAAAACAAGGTGTTCTCTCACGGGGCAGCAGATTTGGAGTCAATGCAATGAGGGGGCAGAGCGTGGACAGGTGGGGGGCTCTCATCCCCACCATGTTTTGAAGAGGCCAAACCACTTGACTCCAGAAATGTTGGGGGGATGTGCATTCCCAGTGGGGGGATGTGCATTCCCAGTGGAGGGATCTTTTGTGCACCCCACCCTCAAGGTCAGTGAATATTCTAGGCCCAGAGGTGCCGTCTGCTGGACCACACATTTTTGTCAGAATAGTTTCTCCAAAAAGGGCCAAATGGCCATAAATGTGACCCCGGTGACCTTGCTGAAGCCATCCACACCTCTGAAATCGCCCACTGGCCTTCAAGAGTCAGGCTTTGCCAGCTTCCACAGCATTTTCTCACCCCGCCCCCTCCACATTTGCTGACGTTTTCTCTGCTTTACACATAAGGCCGTGGGAGCCCAGAGGGGACACAGCTTGTCAAGGATACTCAGCACACTGAGCAGCCAAAGCCCAATGTCCCAAGGCCCCTGTGGGTGCCATCCCCCTGACCAGCTGCTCCACCTGCCAATGTGCTTTTTCCTTGGCTTCTGCTGTGGCCTGAGTGTCTTAACAGAAACCCACTGAGGTTGGTGGTGGACATCCTAACTGCCACCAGGAACACATAGCACCTACAGGGCCTTGGGACATCGGACTTTATGGTCTTTACTAGAGGGAGGGGATGCCCATTTCCCCACAGGACCCCATCACTGCCGACAGGAGCGCAGCTTCAGGCTGTCTTCTTCCCCCACACATACCTTGAAATGCGCCTCTGACTCCTCCTCCTGAGTGGAGCTGGAGGGAGAGGGGGTCGCTGACTTGCTCCCTGGGGGTGATGGGGAGCTGTGGGTGATGCCGCTCCGGATGCCCATCTGCGAGATGAGCTGGGACTGGCTGAGGGCACTCATGTGGCTGGCCAGCATTGCCGGGCGGCCCAGCAGGGCCCCGGGCCGACCTGAGTCGTAGGCAGCCACCTCCGAGTGGACCATCTCCTGGATCTAAGAGAGGAGGACAGGGGCTCTGAGTTAGGAAGGATCTGTCCATCACACCTGTGCTAGCAGACTTAGAGGAGGGAATGCAGAGGAGACGTGATGGGTGCAACTCCCGCTCCAATCCCCGACAGGTGAATCTCAAGGTGGAGCCCCAAACTACTTGGAACTCTGCATGATTTGGTGCACTCGTGGGAAAACGGCAGCTCCTCAGCTGTGTGCCGTTCTACTGCCATTCACACTGCACAGACGCTATGGATTTCAGCCCCTGCTAGAGAGCTCAGTCCAGTTGTGATGGATCATCAGATGAGACAGTCTTCCCTCCTGGAATGTGATACGTCTCTGCATGAATTGACCAGTCACCATGAGAGCAAAGCACACAGACCTGGATGCTAACTTCATTTTGAATCCTGGTCCTGCTACCTACCAGTTGGGTGACTTTGGCCAAGTTACCTAACCTCTTTGTGCCTTGGTTTCTTCATCTGTAAAATGTGGATATGAAGAATAACACCTATGTCATAGTTTCTCTATGAAGACAAAATGAGTTGAAATGTGTAAAGCATTTAGAGCCATATAAACAATGAGTGTTCAACTGNGAAAACTTATACTCTAGGGTTCTTAAAGATCAAATGTACCTGGCAGACAGTAAGCCCTATATGGTAGAAGCATGTGCTAGATACATTGAATAAATACATTTCTTGATAAAGTTGAGCACTTTTCTTTCTACAGGTCAGTAATTTTGTTATTAACTCCATTCCCTGTGCTATGTTCTAAGTGGTTACTTCTGGAATATAAGAAAGCTACTGGTTTTTTTTCTAACACTAAACACACATTTAGAATAGTACTCTTGACCTAAATATATATACACACCCTGTTCAGCGGACATACTAGTTTGCATACTCTTCCGATTTTTATTTCCTCTGCCTCTGCAGTTACTTCCCCTTTCTAATATCTAATATCAAATATCTGTGTTTTTCTCTCATCTTTTCTTCATTCGGAAAGCAAATGGGTTTTCAGGTTTATGTGAGCTGTTTCTTTTCTCCTCAAAAGAATCCACTCTCAAGTTGATCACTTCTGCTTCTGTTTTCTAGTCCTTTAACAACTCGTTTTCTCTTTAGCCATCCCTATGTTTGCATTTTAAAGATTTATAATTGCTGCTTCCTCCTCAATATTTGAGTCGTATTTTATTTTTTAATTGACACATGACAAATTGTGTATGTTTATGTGTATTATATGATGTTTTGATGCATGTATACAGTGTGGAATAATTAAGTCCAGCTAATTAACATATTCATCACCTCACATAGCATTGCTTAGATGAGAACATTTAAAATCTACTTTCTTGTTTGATCCAAGAGTTGTTCAAGAAGAGTTCTGGAATACCATTTAACCCAGCAATCCCATTACTGGGTATATACCCAGAGAAGTAGAAATCATTCTATAAAGATTTATAAAGAAATCATTCTATAAAGATTTATAAAGAACATTCATGCACAAGTATGTTCATTGCAGCACCATTCACAATAGCAAAGACACGGAATCAACCCAGATACCCATCAATGATAGACTGGATAAAGAAAATATGGTACATATACACCATGGAATACTATGCAGCCATAAAAAGGAATGAGATCATGTCCTTCGCAGAGACATGGATGGAGCTGGAAGCCATTATCCTGAGCAAATTAATGCAGGAACAAAAAACCAAACACTGCATGTTCTCACTTATAAGTGGGAGCTGAACAATGTGAACACTTAGACACAGTGAGGGGAACAACACACACTGGGGCCTGTTGGGTGACAGGAGGGAGAGCATCAAGAAAAATGCTAATGCGGCCGGGCGCGGTGGCTCAAGCCTGTAATCCCAGCACTTTGGGAGGCCAAGGCGGGTGGATCACGAGGTCAAGAGATCAAGACCATCCTGGTCAACACGGTGAAACTCCGTCTCTACTAAAAATACAAAAAATTAGCTGGACATGGTGGCGCATGCCTGTAATCCCAGCTACTCAGGAGGCTGAGGCCGGAGAATTGCCTGAACCCAGGAGGCGGAGGTTGCGGTGAGCCG